AGATAGAAGAAACCGGTGCTTTTCAGTGTAATGTAAGGGAGTAACACCAGCAAGGGAAGGCAAGGAACTGGACAAACTTGAACTTTGGGTAAGAAGGTAGACTGACTCTAGCAAAAACTATATGCACCAACTCTTATCGCAAAAAGAGGCAAGAATTGAATGTTGTGATTTTGGAACGTGAATTTTTGTTTAAGAATAAAGAAACTTTAAGAAGATAGAATTTTACACAAATATGTAAATATAAAATTTGATCCAAAGACACCCCATCTCCAGAAAGGTTCAATAGCATCATCCAACAATGTGAAATAATACTGAGAAATGATAAGTAGATTGGAAAACATCCATGAGAAATTTCGAGCACATCCTCTTCATTTAAAGAAATGAAACTAATAAAACTAATAAATGGAAATATCTGTGAAGAAGAAAAAGGGAATGATGACGGTATTTCCACAAGAGACATAATGAAGCGAGTTGAGATGGTTGTTACAAAATTAACATAAGTGACCCGTTCAAAACCCCTGAAACAGCAACGGCCCACAAAGAAGAAGAGAAGCGAGCAGACCTAAATCCAAAATCATGCGAGGCGCAGCATAAGAAGATGAACCACTGCCCCTTCCTCCTCCTCCTCGTCTCGCATCGGCAGCTGGCGCAAGATCTGCAGGTGTAGGCGTAAGTGCAGTCGCAACTGGAGCTGGGGCTGGAGCTGGAGTTGGTGGTATGTCTGTGCCGAAGATTGCTTCTGGCAACAAAACTCCATCAACCTGATAGATAGCTACAGGAACAGCCGCGTGCACTGCACTCGTCACCCTTGTTCGAGTCCAACCGGAATCGATGGAGATTGTTCCTGAGTGGTCAGTGACGTTGATGGAATTAAGGCCTCCTCCGGCAAGGGTAGGAATCGGATTCTGACGGCTGAGATCCGTGAAATTGGAGAGAGGATAGTAACGATTCAAGGCATGGAAAAGACATATAGACTTGAGCTGGTCCTGGGTGAGGTTTGAGAGGCGGTGCTGCACACTAGTGGAGAAAGCAGAGTCCCTCGGGACAAAAATGGTGATTCCATCATCACTGTTATTGGCCGCATTCTGGAAAACTTGTATCACTTTGGTGGTTTCCAGATAGTTGAGGAAAGTGTGGAAGGGCCCAGCAACTGATAGCAGATCAGTGAGGTTCACATATTCCGGTGCCGGAGCCGGTGCTGGACTTTCACTTTGTCCATTAATAGCTTCAGCTGCCCAACATAGCAGCAGCAGCACTACCATAAAATATGAATTCTTCGTCATCTTCCCTCACTTCACCTCTAGTTAATTAATCTGCAACAGAGCTACCATGTTTGTTAGTTCACCACAAGCAAGCCCATGAGATCCCCATCGCCCCAGATATAGTATGCCATAAATTGACAATAAAATAAGATGAATCAGCAAAATTAGCTCAAACCAACCGCAGATCTAGACAAACAAACCACACACACGTATAATCAATTTGAGACAAATTTATTAGATGAAAAATGGCTGCACTGCACCCTGCAAGCCAAGTCATTTACTTTTACTGACCAAACAAAAGGAATCAGATCTATGAAATAATCAGCATTCCAACTCACACGTTCAAAACTAGAGCCGATCTGGATAAATCAACTAATATACATACAAGAATTAAGCACAAAAATGTTCTTCTTCAAGTATGATTCCACCACTCGGCTTAAATAGTAAGTATAGAGTTGTTAACAAAAATGCCGAGACCAAAGTTGAATCTAAAATTAAAGTAATCGAGCCGACCTGAGAGAGATTGAGCAAAACCAGGAAGAATGCAGCAGCTTTGAGTAGAACAATATTACGAGTGTTGTCTGCAGCAGCTCAATGGGCGTATAAAGCAGAAATACGCCCAAGAATGGTAACAGTAATAATGATGTATAATGAAGCCCCCAGCTAGTCAATACTTAATTTATTTTTATTTTTATTTTATTTATTTATTTATTTATTTTGGTACATTTTTTTTTTTTTTGGTACATATTTTTTTTTGGTACATTAATTTATTTTTATTTAAAAGAAAAGACAGAAACAAATGGCGTGGCCTTATAAAAACAGATGCAGACGTGTCAAGCAAAGAGGCTCTTCAATGGGCGTAGATAGATGTCTTTTGTAATACCTGTCTCGTTGCCCATCACAAAGCTCTATTCCAAATCTTCATCTCCCCCTTTCTTTTTCGAGTTTTTCTTAATCACATCGATTCGCTACCAAAGCCTAGCATCGATCAAGATGGTGATTTGCTCGGATGTGCTCGATGGCGGCGATTGGGGGGAGGCTGACGTAGGCGGCGTCAGGGTCGTTGGAGAAGGCTGAGGTGGCGGATACGCGGAGGAGCTAGGAGACGTTACCGATGGAGTTTTTGAGTTGTTGGCCGATTTTGCGGAGGGCGGTGGAGATGATGGTGAGGACTGAGGAGGCGGCGGAGGCGCTAGGAGACGTTACCGATAAGAGAGAGGGTGAATGGGCCAAGGAAGAAATATTGTGGACTAAATCAAATTGGGTGTCGGAAGGAGCTTCAACCCAACTATCGAACCGTGTCCAGTCCTTTTCCCGTTTTCTCGTCTCCGCTACGGAGTACGGTAATGAGTGGCTTTTCTAGGCTATTATTTTGATATATAAGTGTGTATTAGTTGTTGCCATGGTGTTTAAATATGTTTTGGATAATGTGTGTTTATGTTTAATTGTCGTTAGGTGTTTGTCTCTTCGGTTTATCATCAAAACTGAAAGACATATATGAAATTCGTGGAAACCCATGAGTTTTGAGTGCTTTATTGTGTCCTTGACATGTTAAAAAAAAGTCTCAGGTCATTTCGATGTTTATTTCATTGAGTTATGATTATTTTTTTAAAATGATTGTGTTGTTGGATTTTATAAAAATCATGATAAATTGGATACTCGGTCAAATTACTTGAAATTTTATATGTAGTCCTCTATGTTGATGATGTACGTTAGTGTAAAATTTGCAGATTAAATCTTCTTCTGTAGTTATGTGAAATGTTGATTTTAAATTCTGGTCAGAACCTTGAAAAACGGAGATAAAATCGATTTTGATGAATTTTGATGTGAAATTTTGTGGAGTATGTTATTTTGTTGTGATGTTGGATGTATCAAAATTTCATATTCAAATTCGATGGTTTGACTGGGGAACTAGGAATGTCATGTTATAGCTAAATTTTTGTAAAAATTATTTGACTGGGTTAAAGTGAGGTTTAAGGGATGATATCTGGTGAATATGTGTGTATTTCTGGGTGTACTTTTAGGTGGCAAAGTTTTTTTGAAAATGGCTGAGTACTTTTTGAAAAGATCCGGAAGTTATAAATTTAAGTCGGTTTTCGCGGCAGCACCCAACCGAGTCTTGTTTGAATATTTTCCTAGCTTGGTAGACTTTCTATTTACGTGTCACTATGTTTTGCATGTTATATGGGTTCTAAGTGATATGTGGTTTTTCAAGTCTAGTTGGTTAAGCCGAGGTTCCAAACTCCATTAGGAATTTCCACAAATCACATAGTCGATACGGTTTCGGCTAAGTAAATGTTATGGTATGTGCTCTAAGTGGTGAAATAGTTATTGATAGGAACATAATGATTATGTAGGAGTTCAAGAAGTCGAGCCCTCTACCTACATGTCTGTTTGGTGTGTGATTCTACACTTCGGTATCCAAGTGGATTTTATTTGAAAATTTGCTATGCCGTAAATAATTTATTTGTTGTTGGGTTGGTGTGATCAATGCATGCTTGTAAATTTGTGTAACCTTCGATGTGAGCTGGATGTCCTTCGAATGGTTGTCCCCGTCGTCGAGAGTTGTATGTCCTTCGACGGTGCCTTGTAAGGCATTCTCCCTAAGTCCTAATGATAAGCCATACCGTTGAGAGTTATATGTCCTTTGGTATGCACTCCCATTGTTGAGAGTTGCATGTCCTTCAATGGCCAATGATAGATGTGCACATGAGTGAGATTATTGGTGTATTGATTGGAGATGTGAAATGTTGAATTGATTTATAATCATGCTGTGACCATACCCTTTGTTATATCATGTTGTTATTTACGTGCATAGTGGTGAGCACCACGGTTTCATTTGTGCTCATCCGCACCAGCTCTTCATGGATGCAGGTTAGTAAGTGCAGGCACGACGGAGGGATGCGAGTGGTAGTCGGTCCTTGATGACCAACTTATTATTTGATATTGCTTCCGCTTGTTGAACTGATTATTGTTACAATTGAGGATTGACGATTGATGATTTATGAATGATGATTGAGATGCTTGTTGAATATTGATGTATACTTTTGAAAATGAGTAACGCCACATGTGATTTTGAAATAAATTTGAAAAATTTATTACTGTTTTCGGCAAATAAAAGTGGGGTGTTACAGTTTTGCTATCAGAGCCAGTCTGCGTTACTGTAGACTGCTCTAAGTGTGAATTACTCGATTATGTGATTTGATCTTATGTTATGACCACTCGCTCTCGTCGTGCCGCGCCAACTCAGGTATGAGTACCTAGGAATTTCTAGGATATATATGTGTTATAATTGATTATTGATATGATAAATCGGGACCTAGGGAATCTATCCACCTTGGGTTAGGTTTGAACTTTAGTGATATAAAGTTAGACTTTAGACTTTAAGAGCTCTTTGTTGTGAGTATTGATGTGAGGTTAATAAAAGAAGCTATACACTAAGATCTCAAGTGGCCATAGGCAGTGTATGAGAGTTGAACTCGTTTAGGACTGTCGGCACGATTAGCTACCTGAGTAAAAGCTGTCGTGACGGCCGACATTGTTAGTCGAAAGAGTCAAACGAGCTAACCATTCTGTTGTTCAGCATTGACCGCCGAGTTAGGGTTGTTCCTGGCAGTGATGCTAATGTTCGAACCCTTTTGGAAAATTGTTGTTGTCAAAACCCACACCTCAGTAATTTTGAGTCTTGTAGAGAAACCCTTGGTCCTATCGGAGTACTTGGGAATTGTAAACCCAGAAATTGAATTTCTGGAATGCACCTCGAATCGAGTGTCGAACCTGACTGGGTGTAGTCACGCGAAGTGGTGCCGAGCACGCACGCGTGTCGAGAGATGTGAGGCCAACTGCAGTGGCCGATCATTGACTCGCACGAGAGCTGCTGCCGCCATCACCGAATGCACGAACTTCCCAGGCCAGTGTGTACGGCCAAAACCTTGACCTTGTAACTGGTATCCGAGTAGGTACACGCACGCGTACCAGCGCCCCACATATGCAGCGCCAGCGTGTGTGTCACCTCTCGGGTGACAGTGTATTAAACCCAGTCTGACGTTGTCCTTTTAGGGGTCCTTTGACCAGATTTTTTGGTCAAACTGTATGTGGATCTTTCGAGTCGTTGTGTGAATTTCCTAATCAACAACCCTTAATGTATAAGGTGTGTTGATTATTTCCTTTGCCATAAGCGAGATTTTCTCGAGATGGCGAGATAGTAATTTCAATAGTAATTTCAATAGTAATGTGGGACAGAGCCTTGAGTCTCGACTGGAGACCGACTCTGTGGAAGGGAATCGTTATCGAGTATCTAGTCTTTACTTCTGAAACTGCATATGAGTTGTTATTCGTGTCGGTAAGGATTAAAGCCTTGTCATCGGTATCAAACAAGAACCGTGTGTTCTGAGTGTACCAGATTTGAGAATAAGTGATGATTGTCTGTCCTATTAGGATTCATCGACCAAGTCGATGACTTAGCCTGATGGTTGACTCCACCACCGGGACTTGCGAGGATGCATGACATGTTCTAAGCCTCATGATGGAGGGAATGTATGTGTGATCTCGAGGAATGTGTGAATTGTGACGAGCTGCGTGATAGGCAGAATCCTACCTGTATGGAGGTACCGGTGACCTGTTGGAACCGAGGGTCCAACATGGAAAGACCGGGAGGGGTACTCTTCAAAGTCCAATAGGTTTAGTCAAGTCGAGGGCGACATGACTTGGAAAAGGGAGATCGAGATTCGGAGGGGAGTACCCGAACCTCACATTTGGATGTCCCCTTTTTGTACTCTCTTACCTTCTAATTGTTTTGTTTTTGAATTCCGAGGACGGAATTATTTGCAATGTGGGTAGACTGTAATGCCCCGTTTGTTTATAAGTGAATTGGAATTATTCATTATATTTATTTTTGCTTATTTATTTTTATTATTGTTTGTCTAAATATTACTAATTGCTTATTTGTCTAATTGCGTATTTGTCTAATTGCTTATTATTAATTATTCATATGTGTACTATATATATATTTATTCTGTTAT